GCTGCATAACACAGTCACATGTATGTAGAAGGAACCTATATGCTGGTTAACTGAAGAAATTAGGACATCTTGATAACCAGGACCCCAAAAACATAATTTGCCCAGAATGGAAATAAATGGGCAGACTCTTAACTGAATTTTGTAAAGACCAGATTGGTCTTATATGACAGAGTACTTACGTGACAGAGTAATAATAAAAAACCTTGACCAAACTTCATTTTGTTACTTCAGGAACAGAATCTGCGTTATGTAACCACAACTACTGTGCACAAAATAGCATACATGTGCCAAAAAAAAAAAAAAAAAAGGGGTTTAGAAAACCTCCTGAAATCCATAAAACATTATAGTCAAAGTCCACTGATGTTGCGCTGCCTTCTCTCAGTGTTGGTAGTCCTAGTCACTAGTTGAATATGAAGGTAGTCCTATCTGAATATGAATTTATAAATACTGTCCATTTCACATTCATGTTGCCATAAACCCATATCTAAAATATCCTGCAGCATGGCGCTGCTATGCAGTGATTTTTATGCAGGGGAAAAAAAAAAAAAGGAGTTAATGTCTATTTCCAAAAGGGGAGGCCTAAGGTATTTATTGCAAAGGTCAGTGCCAAACATGCTAAAATTTTTAAAAAGCTACATTTGGAGAAGTCCAGTTCTCAGGGTTATGGGCACACAAATCATTTGCTCCTAAATAGAAGGTTGAGCCCTTTCTTTGTTTGAGAGTACAGGTAAACAGTGACAGCAGTTAGGACCCAGGGTGGACAAAAGCAAGTCCTTCTTTCTTGCCAGAAGTATCAGAGTTGGAAGGTGAGTGTATCAGTTAGATGCACTGGGAGAAAGGAAGAACAATTCAATTCTGTGGTGCTCTAAAGAGAACAATCCATAGTTGACCAAGATGTAGGCAGTAGGCTGAACCAGCTCCTGGAACAGACTGGAAGTGAACTTTGGTTGTCTTGCTGATTAGCAGTAATTCTGGAGTTCAATAAACAGAAATCAAACCTTTAGAAGAGGATGTATTTTTACCTACAGTACTCATACTGGGTTTTCTGACTGTGGGCTGTGTAAGTTAAAGCTGGCTTGGAAATTCTTCTGTGTTAGGAGTCACACTTTTTACTTCTAATATAGAGTCATAGAATTGTAGAATGGTTTGAGTTGGAAGGATCATCTGGTTCCAACTCCCATGCCATGGGCAGGGACATCTTCCACTAGACCAGATTGCTCAATGTCCTTATCCAGCCTGGTCTTGAGCACTTCCAGGGCTGGGACACTCACAACTTTTCTGGGCAATCTGTTCCAATGTCTAAATCATCCTCAAAGAAAATAATTTCTTCCTAAAATCTATTCTAATCTTTGCTCTTTTTGTTTATAACTGTTCCCCCTTGTCCCTTGCCTGTGTATAAAGTTATTCTATGTCTTTGTTGTGGTTTTGCTCTGGGTCAATTTGCTTTCCACCCCCCACACAATTACTACTAGTTGAGAGAAGGTTTTTTGCAAACAAAAGAGAGACGGGATTTTGGGGAAAAATAGTATAAACATTTATTACTAGTAAAATAAAAACTATTAATAAATTAAAAACTAAAGAACTATATTTACAATAATTTCTACTCAAGTTGAAGTACTATATATTTACAGAAATACTTCTTCCCTTTTTATACTAGTCCAAGGAGAAGAAGTAGTCTTATTCTCTACTTTTTTGGAGTTCCAGCTCTCTCTCTCTCTCTAGTAATAGATTTTCAGTAGCAGCAGTATTCTCGTTTCAGCCAGAACTTTTTCTCTCTCTTTCTCGCTCTGTGTTGGCTTCCAGGGCTGGGCTTACCCCCCTCCTGGGCTAAGACCGAAGGCTGGGGGTTACCCAGGTCCTGAAGGGTCTTCTTTCCATAGGCTTGCAAGGGGGCACTTGCTTATTATGGATCTTCTTCCACAGGATTACAGGGGATAATGGCTTAAGAGTTTACCCCTGTTTCCCTATGGAGGTCCCTCCCCATGGGAGAACAGTCCTTGATAGACTTCTCGGCATGGGTCTAGCACGAATCCACACACACACGGATCCCAACATCTCACATGGGCCATCTCGCTCCAGCATGAGATTTCTCAGGGTCACAAAATCTTCAACAGCAGTATGGATCCACACACACACGGATCCCAGTATCGCACCTGAGTCATCACTGCTCCAGCACAGGTTTCCCTCAGGGTCAGAAATTTCCACCAGGACTCTGCCTCACTTCAGTCCTTCTCATGAAGTTTCAGTTCTCTTTGGTACATCCACAGACTCCTCTATCAGCTGCATGGGGGATCTTCTTACTCCAACAAACTTTTACAAGTAGCAGGGATTACTTTTCAGTCTTTTCCTTGCTGAGGAGAGAGAGTGAAAAGAGGGGGAGGGAACAAGCTCCCCCCTTTTGCACTTTACTTTTCTTGCTGCAGCTTCAGCTGCCAGCTCCGACCTTGGAAGCTCCGTTAACTTTCGGCTGGAATTCTTCCACAGCGGTTTCTGTCCAAGCAGTTCATCTTTTAAACTTTTTTTTTTCTTCACTCTCTTACAAGAGAGAAGGGAGGACTTCAGTGCTGCACCTGCTCCCCCCCCCGGCCCAAGCCGGGGGAGGAGGGAGTCTGGCCCTGTTCGGGCCCGGTACTCCTCTCCCCTACATGGCTGCTGCTACTAATTCCAACTGCGCCAACAACCTTCTCTTCCGTTTTCTTGAAGATGTAATTAGCAAAGGTGTTCCTGGACTTTTGATTGGCCTTTTTGTCCGGAAATTACTTGGACAAAACCATCCTCAGCCCCAGGGATGGGCTGGTGGGCAAAACCACGACAGTCTTTTTTGTAAGATCCTTTTAACTGCTGAAAGGCTGCAACAATGTCTTCCCTCAAGCCTTCTTCAGGCTGAATAACCCCAGCTCTCTCAATCTTCACTCATAGGAGAGGTGCTCCAGCACTCTAATCATCTTTGTGACTCTCCTCTGGACCCACTCTAACATGCCCATGTCTTTGTTGTGCTGAGGACCTCTCAAGCTGGATGCAGCTGGGCACTCACCAGAGCAGAGTACAGGGAAAGAATCACCCCCATCGACCTGTTGGCCACATTGCTTTTGATGCAGGTCAGGAAGAAGTTGGCCTTCTGGGCTGCAAGTGCACATTGCTGGGTTATATTCAGTTTTTCATCCACCAGTACACCCAAGTCCTTCTTCACAAAGGACATACCCCATGTAAAACATATAGACATATGCCATATAAAGCCCTTGATATATACAACTGCATATAAAATGTGTGTGAAAGACTGTTTGGTGTGCTTACTCTTTTGTTTATTTCTATATTTTGTATGAGATTAGATCTTATAGCAAAATACCTTTTTTCGTTTGGGAGCAGAATGGTTAGGGAGTCTTCTCCAATTGTAAAAAGTCCTTGCTAGACACCTTATGAGAGGAAAATCCTGCTTATCAAACCTGATTTCCTTTTATGACGAGATAACCCACCTGTTATCTTGATCAAGAGAAGCCACTTCATGTAATTTTGGGGGATTTCAATAAAGTTTTCAATACTGTCTTGAAGGAAGACAAGGCTTTAGAAGGGTTAATCGAAACACTTTTACTGTAAACCCATAAGAGCCACCCTTACCCCCTGTACTTCGTTTACTGTAAGCTGTATTTCGTACAGGAAGGCTATGTTCTGTACTGAGGGCATTAGACCTTAAAGGAACCACAACAAACACTAGACAAAGAACTCAACACCCGTAAATCTGGTCCAAAGGAGCCAAGGTAGACATTTGAATAGGTAAAATAGGCCTGAAGCCAAGGGTTTCTTCAAGCCTGAACGAACAGAACGCGAGAACAATGGAAAGAACGAAAGGTCATGAAAGTCATTCAATGAAGAGGAGTAGATTTGCAGACCCCAGGATGAAGGCAAACAGGAACTCCCACCAAAATATTCCTCAAAATAGAGACCATGCCTCAAACTCCGCCCTGACTCCACCTGCTATGAATATTGTAATGTAATGATGCAATAATATGAATATGCATATGATTATGTTGTAATCATTGTCAGAAGATGTATAAATTGCTTGTTCTATTCAAGCACTGCGGAGCCTGTTTTCCCAGCACTAGCTGGCAGGCTGCCCGGCCGTTAAATAAATAAATAAATACCTTGCTGTTTATTAGGCATAAAATTCTGTCTTTAAACTGTTTTTATCTGCCTTTTTTGGGCATCAGTCTCTCCCAGGTTCCTTCTGGACAAAATGCCCAGTACACAGTTGGATAAACACACCATGTAGTGGGTGAGCAATTGGCTCATGGATCAAGCACAGAGGGTAACAGTGAATGGGGTAACATCAAACTGGTGACCTGTCACTAGTGGGGTTCCACAGGGCTCCATCTTGGGCCCTGTGCTCTTCAACATCTTCATAAATGACTTGGATGCAGGACTGGAGGGGATACTAAGCAAGTTTAAAGATGACACAAAAGTGGGAGGAGCTGGTGACTCCCTTGAAGGCAGGGAGGTCCTGTAGAGAGATCTCAACAAACTAAAGGACTGGGCAATTACCAGCCAGAGGAAGTTCAGCAAGGGAAAGTGCTGGATTCTGCACCTGGGATGGGGCAACCTGGGATGTATGGACAGACTGGGGAATGAGATGCTGGAAAGCAGTGCCACCGAAAGGGACTTTGGGGTCTGGTTGACGGCAAAGTCGGCAGTGCCCTGGCAGCCAGGAGGCCAACCGTGTCCTGGGGGGCATCAGGCAAAGCTTTGCCAGCCAGTCGAGGGAGGGTATTGTCCTGCTCTGCTCTGCACTGGGGTGGCCTTACCTTGAATATTGTGTGCAGTTTTGGGCACCACAATAGAAGAAAGATATTAAGCTCTTAGAGAGTGTCAAAAGGAGGGCAATGAAAATAGTGTGGGGCTCTGAGGGGAAGCCGTATGAGGAGTGGCTGAGGTGACTTTGTGAGTTCCTCTTAGAGAAGAGGAGACTGAGAGGTGGCCTTATTGCAGTTACAACTTCCTTATGAGGGGAAGAGGAGGGGCAGGCACTGATCTCTTCTCTGTGGTGATCAGGGACAGGACCTGAAGGAATGTCCTGAAGTTATGTCAGAGGAGGTTTAGGTTGGATATCAGAAAAAGGTTCTTCACCCAGAGGGTGTTTGGGCACTGAAACAGGCTTCCCAGAGAAGTGGTCACAGCACCAAGCCTGACAGAGTTTGAGAAGCATTTGTACAATGCTCTCAGGCGCGTGGTGTGACTCTTGTGGATGGTACCGTGTAGGCCTAAGGGTTGGATTTGATGATCCTCATGTGTCCCTCCCAACCCAGCATATTCAGTGATTCTGTAACCTGAACACAAAGAGAGTTTGCTCTGCTTCTGTTCTGAAAATGCAAATCTGGTGTGGTTTGGATTTGGCTCCCCACCAAGTCCCTGAATCCCCAACAAAAATCCACATCCTCCCTCCCTTACGAACACAAGGGAAAAGAAGGAAGGAAAAGTTACCAGAAAAACCTGAAATGACAAGACCAAAGCACTGTATATATATATATATATATATATATATATATATAAACATCTATATACAATTGTAAAAAAAAAATTATTTACGTCTAAGAAAAACTTTAATACCCCAAAACTAAAACAGAAATTAATAAACCTGGTATACACAGATTGCACACAGCTAATATAGAACTAGCAAACAAAAGAACAAAATACTTTCCTCGAAAAGACAAAATTCACTCCACCAGATTTCTCCACCCAAATGGGGAAAACAATAGGCCACAGCAGGCCTGACTCCCAGATAAGTGAGACTGGCTGCAGGGACCTGCTGTCTTCAAGTCCAGCGGAAGAGAAGCAGGGAGACACCCCCTCTCTCCTTCTTACTTATACTCTTGCTTACTTAAAAACCAGGATGGAATACTGGGAATGGTCACTTCCCTAGTTTCAACCTGGTTACCAAGGAAGGCCTATATCAAACTATCACATCTGGGGACAGCCACACAGCATATCACTGGAAGAATAGTCTGTGGTTCAGTGTAAGGCAAAAGTATACTGAAGTCACTGCAATAACAAAGGATTAAGCAAACTAAAGTTAATTACAACTCTGCCTTCCACAGAGGATAAGGAAAGAGTTAGGGAACCAGGTTCAATATCTACTGTATTGCTTGATAGGTACTTGATATATGATTTTAACAAAGCCAACTGCACCTGATATAATTATTCATATAATGAGGTACTAAGATGCTGTCTTTACTAGCTGAAAACATGTGTCAGGCCTTTCACAGCCGGAAATTAAGTTTTATTTGGCATACTGCTATGTATGTGTTTTAGTTGCACAGTCTGCCTGTTACAGTGTTTCAGAGTATTCATGAATACTTTTCTGACTCTGTAACATCTCCTAATAAGCACATAACAGTCGGAGAGATCATTTCATGAATATTGGTCAACTCCCTTTTTCCCCCCCAGATATGACAGGAATAATATCTCCTTGCACGCTAGCCTTTGACTGGAGGTCAGTGACCTCCAAACACAAAACCTGCTCTCGTGGTGTTTCTGTCTTTATCCAAGAGAAACAAATCAATGCTCTTGCCCTGCAAGGCCAGTTAAATTACCACAGGCAATATTGCTGAATTTGCAAGTTTCAGGATTGTATTGAATTAATGAAAACCAGAGGGAATTCCCACATTACAGTATCTCTGTTGTAAGGGATCCTAGCTAACAAACCGTGAAGTAACATCTGATTTTATCAGCTGATAATGCATGAGAGATTAAATAAATGCATCACTGTAATTCTCTACAATTTACAGACAATATTCTAAGTGCAAAAGTGTTTCAGACTTCAAAGAAGATTCTGCAAGGGCCAGTGGAATTTATGAGGCCAGTCAGGGTTAGATTTTTTGATAAAAATTAAACTTTCAATTAGTAACAATTAGTCCTAAATTGTAAGGACTGACAATCTTTCATCACTGACTTGTCTCACTCATGACAGTTCTGCTTCCAGAGCAGGTCTGAGATATATTTATATGGGAAAAGGCTCACATCATCTCATTAGTAGGTACATATATACTCAGTTTCACTGTAGTTCATATGCACAACATTTAACACAATGCTAATGTTGAACAAAATAATACGCTAAAGAAGCAGCAGTATTGTTTTCTGCTCTTTCAGGTTTGCTTTTTGGTTTTTTGGTGGTGGGTTTTTGTTTGTTTGTTTTTGTTGTGTTGTTTTGTTGTTATTTTTTATTTTTACCACCTGAGAGCTGTCTTAAAAATAGGGTGGGAAAGAGGATGATTTATATATAGGTTACACTGTAAACCTGATTCACTGCCCGTGACAAAAAAGCCTAAACTGAAAAGTATAAGCACTTACAAGAAGTCTGCATACTGTTCCTCTGATTGCATATATTTCACATTTTCTTTCAATTGTGTTCTTTTGTCACCGTGCAATTACCCAACATGACTTTTTTCTATTCCTTACACTAGTTAATTCCTACTGTTTGCCTGACAAGAGATTGTTTGTTTGTTTTTTTGTTTGTTTTATTTTGTCCTTCTCCTATGGGCTTTCCTGGGCTTCTTGTTCCCATTCCATTTATTTTCTATTAGTTTATAGCAACAACTGGCTATAATAGCAGTCTCAGATTTCTAGAAGCTATTACTCTCTTATAGATAGGACACTTCATTGATTATTCTGAACAGAACATGTTTCAGTGATAAGATTGATGGAAGTGAAATCCCAAGATGACAAACTGAGAAGGCTTTTAAACTAAGGGGCTGTGAATCTCTGTAACTTCATTTTTAATATGGCAACTGGAAATGCTTAATAGGGTTCTAATTAAAATAAAAATAATAAAAAGAAAAAGACAGTAAGTGTTAAGCATCCACTTGAACCCTTTGCTTTGCAGGAATTATTTTAAACATCTGGTTTGTAATGCAATAAAAATACACATTACTATTTTACAGAAGGAAGGGGGCCAAGTTACTGAAGTTATGTTCTGACATAATTTCATCTTCCACACCATGAAGGAAAAAGATAAGGAATTTCTAGGGACAGAACCAGCAGACCTATCCTCCTTTCAAGGAGTGGCTTCAGATGGACTGAAAGATAGTGGATGTTTTTGAAATGGGAGATCAGCAGAAATCAAGTTCTGTCTTGTTTTCTAAGGCAGAAAATATATAGGCAAACAGAACACGACACCACTTTTGCTTCCCTGAACTTCTTTGCTCTGTTGAGCCCTGATTCACCTTTGAATTGAGATTCTCAAACAAGGATCAGATTCACATGATGTGGATTCATCACCTTCCCTCTGTAGTGAGCAGATGGCAGCCAGCATCCAGTGTTAACAAGTGCATCATTTGTTGATCATTGAAGGAAAATATTTAACTTTCAGGTTTTACGGAGCTCTTTAAAGCTGCAGGAGACAGAGTAGAGCGTCTATATGGACAGCGTAATATGAAGCTGTAGCAAAAACAGTCAAACTAGCAATAAAACACAGAGAAAAAGTAAAATAGAGAGAAAAAGACATGATGATCCATATGGGAAGCACAATAGCACAGAGGTCTATAGTGGTATATCTTCATCTGTGTGACTGAGTATTTTTGTCATTTTGTACCACAGTCTTGGTCGGGTGTTCAGAAAGAATACAAATGATTAAAACATTAAAGACGTTTGGGCATTTTTTGTGTGTTTTGATTTCATTTGCTTGTTTGTTTGTTTTTCAGGACAGCTGTAGAAAAGACATCTTACTATAGAAAGAGAATAAATAAGAGGTATGGGTTTAATGTCTGTATGTGTAAAATGATCAGTGAGGTAAACTAGATTGGGGTTTAAGATTATATCCTTTCACTAGACAAACTAGAGCTATTCAGTTTTACAAGAAAGTATAAAATTACTAACCAACAAAGACTGTACTTTTCCAGAGGTACTTTTCCATATTGAGCCTTGGAATTCATCATTACAGCAAGTAATCAAGGACAATAATCTAGCAAGTTTAAATAGGTAGTAAAATAGAGAATAGATGGTTACAGTCCCAAAATTTAGAGTTGTTGCAGCTGTACTTAAAAAGGAACAGGTTTGTTAGACAGAGGTTCCAGGAGTTAATCTGAATTTTAACTATTTACACTTAAATGAATACAGCTGTAAAGGACTTTTAACTCTATTGTCACTCCTGTAACATTCTTATATGTTCTTCTGAAGCATCCAGTGCTGGTCAGACTGAGAAGTGAAAAGATGTACTAGAGTATAGATGTATTAGTTGTATCATTGTAAAATGCTTCTTAGGTTATTTGTTTTATTTTGGTTTGGTTTGGTTTTTGGTTTTGTTTTTTGTTGTTTGTTGGTTTTGGTTTTGGTTTTGTGGGTTTTTTGTTTGTTTGTTTAGATTATAATCCATCTCTCTACTCTCATGTAAATACCCTGGTCAATATCACAATAATAAATTAGGTTGCCTCCTGCCCACATTTTCCTTACTCTGTTTTTAGATTTGGAAGTGATTTTGTTTACTTCTTTATAAAATATAAATAACATAACTGTGAATGATTCCGGTAACTAACTACATGGGAAACAAACTCTGTATTATACTGTCCAATACATAGTGGTTTACAGTTTGTTATATAGCCACCATAAACACAATTTTGTATTTATGACACCTATGAGTAATAGAAAGCAGATACTAACAATTATAGAGAAGTCACACAACAAAGGCAGTGAGTTTACCACATCAGCTAACAAGCAGCAGAGGAAGTCTGCAGTTTTGTATTGCATTTACCAATAATCTTGTAATGAAGAGATACAGAAAGAGTAAGTGTCTTTTGGCCTTTGTTGCTGTTACAAGTCAGAGAAAACCTATATAATAGCATGCGGACAGGAAAGTGTATCTAAGCAAACGTCTCCACCTTGCTAGTCTACGGAGTTTACAAGTTCAAGTGCAACGAAGCATTAACAGTCCTCCCTGCTGGATCTGTTTCAGATGAATACACAGCTCTCCTACACATCAACTGATGGCAAAGTTTTCCCATAGCAGAGTGTGCAGCATCTAAGGGAAAGATGCTGAAGTCATCCAAGCTGAAAACCTAAAATTACTGTAATTTTTGCTTACATGGCACCCAGTGTAGATAAGTGTCCTGCTGTACAAAGCTGTGTCTGAATCTGTAGTACAAAAGCATCTGAGCCAAGAGTTTTTATGTTAAGAAGGGAAGTTGTTGACTGAGGAGAATCATATAGCACTATATTGACATGCATCTCTTACTTTACAATCTCCCTGT